CAAAGTCAAAGGAAGACCAATTTTTCCCCACGAAAATGGTGGAATTGTTGTTACTTGATTTATTATATATATATATAAAAAAAAAATTTCCCCACTTTCTTGACTTGTTAGTGAGTTTTTCCTTCATTCTAACAAGTAACATATAAGGCAAAGCAGGCAAAGCAGGCCCAATTGGGTAGAAGTGCTCTCAACTTTTTTTTTTTTTCCTTTTTGGTTACCAGTTCGCAGTGAGTAAATAAAATAATATTCCCTATGTCTCAGATGGTTCATGTTGTATTTTGTAGTAATATACATATTTCAATATTAAATAAAAGTTATCCAGGTCGAAAACGCATAAGAGCATGGGTTTCATGGTATTTTATCCCATAATTACAAAAAAAAAAAAAATGTGTCGTGTAGTAATATTAAAAGATGTAGGGACGATTTTTAAGCCCATCATTTAAGTTATGGTCAAGTAGTGTGTAGAAAAATGTGAAATAATTATTATAATACTAAAGTAGCTGGCCAAGTCGAATATTCAAAGATCATGTGTGCTGAAGTTGAATAGTGTTAAATCTAATAGTAGTGGTGGTCGAAGACCATATTTAATTTCAATCGGGAACGGGGTTGATGAACTGCAAATTAAATAAATAAATATGGATAAGTCTCGTTGGAATTGAGGTGTTAGATGGTGACTTATCTGTTGTTCACCGAAATATTTCTTCAACCACATTATTTTAAAAATCAATTCTGTACAGACTGGCGGTTAAAAAAAAATTATGTAGAGACTGCCTATAGAATAACCATTTCATTATTTTCATTAATATACTTCTATAATTAACATATCCTTTTATATTTTAGTTAACAGAAAGTTTTATTAATTAGAAGGTCATAATAAATTTTATGGTATTGGAGCATATTCATATAAAATATAGGAGAGGTGCACCGAAATGAAAATAAGTTTAATTAAAGTTGCATATAAATACACTGTGATGTCATCTAAACATAGCGGTTAGCGGTGCCATTGGAACGTCTTGTTATTGACCTAGCATATTCTATTCAAGACAATCTTATTTATAGTATTGTTATGCACCAAATATGAGTATCCTCAGTAAGAATTCAAAACCTGGTTTGATTTAGATGAAAACTAAAAAGAAAACAAAAAAAAATAAGAATAAAATTTAAATATGAATTGTTGTACTGCAAGATACTAGCTCCTCTATTGAGAATGAAAGTGATGAAAGGCTCACAAAAAACATTAAACATGATCGTGTGAGGTTTCAATTAGTTTTTTAAAAATTATTTTATGAAATTCAAAATAAGTATGTGAAAAGAGTTTAATTTTGACTTATGTGAAAATATTTTTTAAAATACTTTTACAAACATCCCAAAGAATAATATATAAAATGTTCTGCCATAACTCCATTTTTTGTGCCCGCTCCATAACTCCAACAAACAATATTACTCTTTATAAAAAGTAGAATTTTATTCAAATAAATATTCTCAAAATATAAATAAGAGAGCAGCATACCATGTTTTACTGGGATCTGTCTTTTAGGGGCGAAGACAACGACGTTAACGGAGAATCCACGGAATATTCGAGAGGGGGTTTTAGCTTAGTAAGTGTACCTGCCGAAACCAAACGAGGCCCAAAGTAGGTCCAAAATCGGAAGCAGGTCAGCACACCGACCAGCCGAGTCAGTCCAAGTAAGCAGCACGCCCTTCATGTTCAACAAAATCATCCAGCCGTCAAACTAGTCAGTTCTTCCCAATCACATCCCTAAATCATAGTAATAAGCAGTACTCTAGTAATCTCCTTTTCTTCGTCCACAAACCTCGTGTGTCAATTATGTCCAACCTCTCCCTCCACATCTTGCACTTTTCAACGGTCAACCTTCCCCTATTCAACCTTCTCCCTCCCGCTCGCTTTGACCATCATCTTCCCCGCCCCTTCCTCTTACTCTCTTCTTCTATATATAAAACCACAGCAAGTGGGTTTCCCTCACATCTTTCTACCTATCTAATCTCCCAAACCAAAAACAAACAGATTTCTTCTGCTTCTACTCAGAGATAAATACGCTATAAAAATGGTTTTGTCGTGGTCCAGAAAACGAGTTTTTCGCCGTGCCCGCAAAGGAAACGCCGCCACCGGAGACTTGGACGTCGATGTCGAGGTTGTTGTTCCCACCCACTTCCGGTGTCCGATTACCCTGGACTTGATGAGAGATCCGGTGACCTTATCCACCGGAATCACCTATGACAGGGACAGCATCGAGAAGTGGGTCGAGTCTGGAAACCGGACGTGCCCCGTCACCAATCAGCCTTTGATTAGCTTCGACATGATTCCTAACCACGCCATACGTAGGATGATCCAAGACTGGTGCGTCGAGCATCGTTCCCACGGTATCGAGAGAATCCCCACGCCGAGAATCCCGGTCACGCAGTACGAGGTTTCCGAGATCTGTACCAAAATAATGTCGGCAACTCAACGCGGAGACGACAGCAAGTGCCAGCAGTTGGTGGATAAGATCAAGATCTGGGGCCGAGAAAGCGAGAGGAACAAGAAGTGTATCGTTCAAAACGGGGCTGCCACTGCATTAGCCAACGCCTTCAGTTCTTTTTCAAACGCTTCGATTGAGAAAAACGTAGGCCTTTTAAAGGATATTCTGGGGATCTTAACATGGGTTCTTCCAAAGGGGCAAGAGGGTTATGCTCAAATTCAAACTCAGTCATTGCTGAGTTCTGAAGCGTCTTTACGTTGCATGGTTTGGTTCCTTAACAGCAAAGACCTCTCGTCAAGGCAAAACGCAGCTTTAGTTCTGAAGCAAGTACCTATAGAGCCATTGGCAAAAACTGAAGGTGCGATCGAAGCCTTAGTCAAGATGATCAAGGAGCCCGTAGGTCCTCCTGCAACAAAAGCAAGCCTCAAAGCAATTTTCCAGATGGTTTCCTCATCAAATGAGAAAGAGAGAATCATCAAAAGATGTGCGGAACTAGGCCTAGTTACGTTGTTGCTCGAAGCACTTGTGGACGGAGGTAGAGGGATATGTGAAAAGGCTTTGGGAGTTTTGGATTGTATATGTGATTACGACGAAGGGAAGGCAGTGGCAAAGGCCAATATGTTAACCTTGCCTCTTGTAGTGAAGAAGATATTGAGGGTTTCAGGGTTGGCTTCTGATTTTGGAGTGTCAATTCTTTGGAAACTTTGTGACAAGATGGATGAAGATACGTTGAAGGAGGCAATTCAAGTGGGTGCGTTTCAGAAGGTTCTGGTTTTGTTGCAGGTTGGGTGTGAAGAGAGGACGAAGGGAAAAGCCACTGATTTGTTGAAGTTGCTGAATGCTTACAAGAACACAGTGGAGTGTGTTGATTCGTCATTGGATTTGAAGCACCTTAAGAAGCCCTTTTGATCTACCCCATTCATCCTCACTTAGCTTTGTTTAGTTTTCTGTATAGATTCATCAGAGAAACACTGTACAAATTTGCGACACACATAGATATTCAAAGAATCATTCCATTAAAGTTTTGGAAATCAATTTTGGAAGTTTGGGAATTTTGAGATATACATGATCTGGTGCTACAATTTTGCTTCCTTTTTAACGCTTCATCGTGTTTTTAATTAATTTCCATATGATAAATAGAAAGATCAGATTTGAATTGAATGATCATAATCAAATTCATTGTCGTCGTTTGGTAATCTTGATAACAACGATGATTTATTATCCACACCCTTGCCTTCAGAATTTGGAACAACGTTTGGTGTTTAAGTGTTTTAATTAATAGTTTCTTTCTTTAATTAGTTTCTCAACGTTATGATCTCGACAAAGACCTATTTCGACTTTCGAGGGTGTTTTTAGTGATATGCTTAAGCTATATTTGAAACTTTGACGAAAGAGTCTTAGAGATAAGCTTGAGGAGAGACACATAAGTTTTTGTTATTAGCTGTTTCCCACAAAATATTCTAACTGCTCCTCCACATGATAAATGATTGCAAGAATTTATGTCAATTTCTCTTATCATTCGATCGAGCCAGTCCACTTTGGTGGCTTCATAAATCACGATAGTCTTAAATCAGTGTAGGAAAATAGTCGTTGAAATTATGGATTGTCATGTCAAATTAAAACTAACGTTTCTGACTCAAATGATGAAGATGCTTCATCGTTAAGAGTTATAAACAGAGGTAACTCTTGAGAGTAGTTAATGATATCAGATTTCACGCTCGGATTGCCTCAGGGAACAGATGCACGCGACAAAGCAATTTTATTAAAATACAGAATAATAGTCATTTTATTAAAATTGTTAGTTTAAAACGTTAACCAGATCTTATGAAATCACAAAATCTAAATTACTAAATTAAATACAAACAGTTTTTGAAATAGAATAACAAGTTGCCGGTCGAAGTAACACATAAATAGTCCCCCTCGTACTCATCATATTCATAAAATGAATTAATATCGGGCTTATTAAAATTTTAACATTGTGAAAAAGTTTTCAGGTTTTCCAGCAACCTATTAGTTGCATATATACAATTTTAAAAAATTAATTATGCTCATAATCCTAATTCTCATTATTAATTCCGTATAAGTCGTAATGAGCAGCCAATGAATGAGAAGGAAAATAATTCTAACTGCTGAAACAATCTCTGAAGAGTCTGAACAGATATTGAAAAAGTAAACAGAATATAATACCATAACACGTTGACTCAATATTCCATATCTCAAGTCTTTAGTTCCACACACAACCAGTACATTTTGAGGTGGAAACAACTCAGATTGAGGAAACACCGAACATGTATTTTATTGAAATTGAAAATATATATATAAAGCAGTATATAGACATTATATGACAATACGTTGAAACATTTCACAGTGATTACAGTACTCACGAATTTAAAATGAAAATTGAAGAGTAACAAAAAAAATTTTGAAAAATAATGACAAAACGACAACATCAAAACAGAAAACGACAAACAAACCCAAGCAAGACAAACCCCAATGGGCACAGATCCCAAGCTCGTCTTCCTTCAAGGGAAATAGTGATTGTGCCAAAACGCATTGGACTGACCCACGTCCCCAAACGGCAGCGTTTCATCGGCGCCACCATTCATCATGTCCATATACCACTGCTGCTTCGGCATGGCGTCTCCGCCGGCCACCTCCATCCCATCCACGTGCTCCACCTTCGCCTTATCTCGGCTCCTCGCTGCCGCATCAGCAGCCGCAATGGCCGCCACGTCGGTCGCCCTCTGACTCTGAGCCCTCTTGTCCAGCGTCTCGATTCTCCGATTCACGTCCTTCAGATTCTGCTCGACCAGCCACGCCAAATCGTTGAGATCGATCATCGTCATATTATGCAGGACTTTCCCTGCGCTGAGATACTGATACATGATCTGAGTCATCTCCTTCTCCCTGTTGTCCTTCCTCTGCTTCTTCAACTGCTCCTTCGCCTTCAGAATCCTCTGCTTCAGAAACCCTTCCTGGTTCACCATCTTCTTGCTTTGCTCCAGCTCCGGCATCCTCCTGAACTTAGAAAGCACGCGCTGGACCCCAAACGGCGACGGCCAAACCTCCGGCTGAGAATCGTACGGACTGTAGACTATCGCACAGGCCTCGATTCCGCAGAGAGTGGTGAGTTCGTCGATCTTCTTGATCAGACCCTTCTTTCTTTTCTTGTATGTGGCTTTTCTAGCAGAATCGTTCGCTATGAAAGCAAGCTTCACCTTCTTTCTAGTCATGGCAGTGTGTGACTAGAAAAGCTAAATGAAGAGAAATATGGAAACAGAAAAAAGTTTCTGTTGTGTGCAATTCTTACCCCAAACAGTGTATGGTATTTATAGTCCAACCTGGTGTGGTGGAAATTAATATTAAAGTAATTCATTCATGGTATTAATTAGGCAGTAATTACTATTTTAGATACTTTGTACATTGTAACCCACATGCGACATGATTAAGTCCTACACGTTACAATTTTTTGAAAGTACGTGTAAATTTCTTTTTTAAAAAAATGGACTATAAATAAAGCATGCATGTTAACATGTGTAGGAAAATGGATGGAGAATATAGAGAATCTGGGAATTTGATACGCGAGATATGCAGCATGAATGATGAGTTAATGAGAATGGTGGTAGGTTTCATTCACGAAAATTACTAGTTGGATATGTAATTGTGTGTGTAAAGATAGTTTTGACACGACAACTGTACATCGATAATTCCCCGACAACCTGTAAATCTTATCGTAAGCTTGTATTACAGGCATATTTTAAAGTATTTTAGTGTTTTTCTTGGAATTAGCCATGAGAAGGTGATTTTATATTGTACTACCTCCTGTACTTAATAAAAATTTGTTTGATTTTTATTTTAATCATAAATATAAGATCATAATCTATTTTGTTTCTCATATTTTTTTTTCAGGGTAGTCCTTGTAATAATGGTAGTTCTAACTAATACACTTGATTAGCGAGGATATTTTAGAAAAGATAATACTCATTTATTACGAATAACTAACCAAACTAATTTTTTTTAACCTACTCAAATTAGTTAACAAGTTTTTATATTAAGTACCGAAGATAATACCTTATAAATATGAGACCAGTTTTATTTTATAAAACATAAAAGCATTTTAAGTCGATATATATAAACAGCATTAGAATGTCATACTCATCTTTTTGCACTTTGCAGTGTTAATAATGGTCGATAGCGTATATATATGCAGTCAAATTCAGGAACATGTAAATCGTGAATACGAGTGCATAATTTATTTTGGTCAATAAATATGAGAATCTTATTAAATGGGAAATCCTTTACTAACGAATATTGCAAAATATGTAAAAGAAGGAAATGTAATTAATTAATAAGATTCTTTTTGTAAGGATTAACATGATGCCATCATTCAGTAACGGCGGATATTTTCATTTACGAGTAAAACTAAAATTATAATTATTTTTTTATGATATAAAAACAGTAGTAATTGTTTAAAAAATAAACTATTCACGAAAATACTAACATAATTGGTTATTATTTGATTTATGGAACAACAAAATAAGGAGATATTTTTTAAAGTTGTATATATCATTAGATTTTGCATCACATACAATAAAATGTTTATATTTTTGTAAAAAAATTTATATAATACATTATTGGAATTTTGAACAATAAATAATCGAAGCTTTTTAAAGGCCGTAAAATCTTTAGTCCCACCAGAGATCTTGGGAATCATCAATGGCATACATATCTGCTGTGAGAGAGGCTTTAAGAAAGCCATTAGTTTGTTAATTTATAGTTGCAGTTGTGACCATCTATTTATGGATACAATTGACGATGCTAGAATGTTACTCCTCCGATCCTTAATATAAAACCCATTTAACTAATTTAATTAGATTAAGGAAGTTAGGTAAGTTAGTTAATTATAAGAAATGTGACACGTTTTTCCTAAAACACCATAATCATCTTTCTTAATACCTCCTCTCCCTTTTGTACTTGATTATGGTTGAGGAAGTATCTATAGGGGTAATTTAGAGAAAATTGATAAATATAAGAAATGGATCTTATATTTAGAACAAAAACTAACTCAATAATTGGGTCCTATATTAAGAACTGGAAGAGAATTCTTAAGGATTGGCAAGTTGATTTTCACTATATTTTTTAAGGGAAAACAACTCTGTTGCTGACCATTTAATTAGGGCAGCTCACATCTTATAGGGGAACTTTGTATCTTTGATTCACCATCTTTTATACAACAGGCGGTTGCTAATGAGAGAGCTTAGATAGGCCTTCTTTTTTGCTTTCTTTTTTGTTCTGGTTTTGACCCTCTGTTGTGATTTTCACTACGTTTATACAGTATCCAGTTTGCAGTTAAAAAAAGAGCGTAAAATCTGAAATTAGTTAAATTGTAGGTCCTAGACCCATCGAATTTAAAATAATAATAAAAGACATTGAATTGAAAGAATAAATAAGTAAAAAGATTGTACTGATGATTTTTTTTGTTAATTTTTATGCAGTTATTCTTAAGATATATTTATTGGTTTTTGAAAGCTGTATTGAATTTTAATTAATTATTGTTTTTCCATCAAGAGTTTTAATCAATAACATCGAGTTGAGTTAGACAAAGTTTTGGCCCAAAAACAAAAAGGGTAGAAGAAGAGCTGACTTCAGAGTACTGTATTTTCTTTTTTGGGCTAAGCACGTGTATTAATATTATTGGACACTAAATATGTATACTTCTTCTGATAGAAATTTGAATCTTAATTCATGAGGAACAAGCTTTTTTGGTAGACCTAAACCCTTTAGTTGCATTAGTTAAATTAATGAGAAATTTTTCTTGTTACAAATTAATGAGAAATTGAGAACAAGTATAGAAATCTTCATTTATTATGGGCTCGAATGGGCCGGCACTTGGGGACCAAGAGGCCCAAGATAGACATATTCCTATGTATTTTATTTTAAAAATTCACAAATTATTGGATATTGGAATTAAAACTTTCATAATTAAAAAAATTAAAAAAAATTTCAAAATTGAACCATTATTATCAAATAATTTTTAATTTTTAAGAACTTTTTGCTCAAAATTTTTAAAATTATAATTTTTTTAAAAAGTAAGTACTACCTCCAAAATTTTAATATATTTTACTTTTTAAATTTATAATTTTTTTCAAACTATTCATATTAATTGGATATATAAAAATTTTTCATGAAAAATAATTTCAATGTAAATTATTTTATTTTAGTTGTTTATCTTATACATTTTAAATATACCTAGCATATATTTGCTGAGGTTTGAGTATTTTATTTCAGAGAAATAAACATGAATTACGTCAACTTTGGACTCATCTGCCGAAAACCCTCCATCATCTGTCGTCCTCTCTTCTCTCTCTGCTCTCCTTCTTCCTCCTCCTCCTGAAAAGTTTCCCTCCCGCCTTCTTCTTCTGCAGAGCATTAGTGAGTAGCTACACCTACACCTACCGAGCTTGATAAAGTTCCATTCTTTGCCCTTCATCTTCACCCATTTTACCTTTGACTGAGCATATCGTCTTTCTTTAATTCGTCAAATTTCGCCCCTAATGCCTTTGTGCATTGCTCCTCTCCTTCTTCCTCTTAGCAGACAACAATGGAGGCTTCTGTTTCCGCCATTGACGCAACTGGTACCAATAAAAGTGATAAAGGCCAAAATGGCGTTTTGCCAAGGCACACCTACGTTTGAGCCTGGGTGAGTAAATGCCAGGTAGTGTGAACTCATAGAGCTGACATATTTGCTTAATTGCTCATAGCAAAGTCATGAATGATAATAATGTATGAAATGTTGATGATGGATAACAAGACTCCAGGATTGTAATTGATGGTATAATAGTTAGCATTTGTTGGGATTTGGTATTCTCCTTTCAAACGAAATGTTTCTCGTGCAAACGCCTTAATGTTCACTAACGTCTCTCATTGATATTCGTCTGAATAATCCCGAAATTCAGGTTACTTTGAATAAAAAATGAACTCAATGCGTTGGCCTTTTCTGCCATGGTCTAACTTTGCTGATAAAATCAATATAAATCACAAGATGCTTTTTGCCAATTTTCATTTATGGCTCATGAATGATGAAGTTTCACTCTTGTATTCTCTGATTTATAAAAATATATAATTCATAGAATGGCACACTCCGTAGTTTATACAATCTCTCCAAGGAAGGGTAATATTTTTGGTCTAAAGATGAAACTGAATTCTGCTAGCGACAAATTCCTTTTGAGCAATGAAGCAGATTAGTCTCATTGATCTGTGAACACCTGTCCTGCATATTTACTGGAAAATGTGAAAAGTGGATTAGCTTAGGCGCCTTGATTTCATCAATAGAGCCTCTATTCACCGGACACCTCAGTCAGTCATTCCTCAGTTACAAAATGAACTGGCTATAGGAAAGCAAGAATTGTATCTCAAATTACTTTCTAGGATTGCCTCTCTTTTCCTTCTCTTCTATGCCCTTTCTTGCATAATCAAATTTGTCAAATTGGATCTGGAGTTCTCCTCAAGTATCCTCTGTCTTTAAGATTGTAAATTAATTTTCCATTTGAAATTGCAAGATGAAAAAGATGAGTGCTTCTTCCTCTAAAAAGGAGGACAAGGTAAAGTGATTGGTTGCCTCTGTGTTCCTGGTGTCAATTTAAGCAGTATAAAGCAAATATGTCTTTACCTTCTGCATCTTTTAGTTATAATCTTCAACATTTTCCTTTTCCCAATTTTCTATATAGAGGGTTAGAAGAATAGATTCTTTATTTGAGTGGGATTAGATCCCTTAACCCTCCAGGTAAATGGGTTGTTACAAAGTTGTTTCTTCTCATTAAAAACTTATGGAGGAAAAACTCTTTCTGGGCTTGGAAAATCATCATTGAAGTAAAATAATGTCAAAATTTTCTTTAACATGCTGCCAAATTGATTAATAGTCTACCAGAATCTGATTCTTAGTTGTCTATCCTATAAAATCGAGATTCATCTGAAAAAGGAAGGGAAGTAAAAATGATGTTGGATGCAACAAAACTGTATGACTTTTCAGAAGCAGATAGAAAATTCATACGTTTGTTCCACACGTAAATATTTCCTACTATCGAAAAAGTCTTTAGTCCTTTTGTTGTTTCGAAATTGGTTAAATCCGTTAAATACAACCATTTTTTTCTCTACTGCTGATTTGTCGCGTTTCAACGAACTTTCTCGAGTGACGAAAAAAAGAATTATTGAAATTAGTCGCTTTCAATTAAATACTTCTTGGCCATATGTGATGTTGAATTTGATTTTCAACTTCCAATGATCTCTATGCTCTTTCTCTCATCTCTATTGATTTCCTTGTATAATGTTTATTTTATCATGATTATTGACATCATACTGTAACAAATAATCCTATGGACTTACCATATGTTAAACATCTCATCATATTGCTCTTTAGAGCGGCATGCATATCTTCTCACTCTGATTTTGTTTAAGGCTCTGTTTGGATAGCACCCCAAACCATGGTTTGGGGACTCAAACCATGGTTTGGGGAAAATGCTACCCAAACAGTCTCTCCAAAAACCAAAACCATGGTTTTGGGTCAAAACCATGGTTTTGACTCCAAAACCATGGTTTTGGAAAAAGCAAAATTTTTTTGCTTTTGGAGAAAAAAGGGAGAGTGTGAGGGCCTATATGATATGTATCTTGTTATTTTTTTTATAAACATATTTTTTTATAAATATATTTAATCTTATATTTATAAATATATATAGACATTAATTATTTATTAATTATATTATCTTATGTATTATTAATTATGTTGGTAAAAAACATATTATTAACAATTTTATTTCTTCAAATTAAAATATATCATAAAATCTATTTTTTTGTAATTATCATATTAACTTATGTCTTTTTTTTAGTAATTTGTATATATAAAAAGTGCTTCTGATAACAACTATCCAAACACTCTCACTTCTCAGAATCACTTTTTTACAAAATCTATTCTTCACAGAATCTATTTTTTCCAGAATCTATTCTCCAGAATCACTTTTCCAAACCACGGTTTGGTTTCATCCAAACACACCCTAAATCCTGGAGCTGGAACACGAGATTGAACTAACTAATTTCCCAAACTGCTTTATGAATGTTCCAGCTTATCTAATTATACTTGTTCTCCCCTGCAGATAGTATCTGGTGGCTTTGGCATTTAATGACATTCAAACATATACAGAAACGGAACCAACTTTAATAGCTCAAACAAGCAAATATATACAGAGGTTTATTAAGGGAAACAAATTATATAAATGAAACGAGTGATGGAAATTGATTGTATCAATTGTGTTAGGCCTTCAATTCAGAATAGGTTGCCTTTATTAGTTGTTGGTCCTAAGGGATCTCAATGTTGACAGGAGACAAAGTAAAGTTGTACATAATGATTTGAAATGTAAATTTAGTACTTTCTGAGCACAAGACCCCAGCCTTTGAGCAGGACTTTGATTTCTAGGAGGAAAATGGAAATAGAAAGAACCTGGATTAACCCAAAAAAAAAAGAAAAAGAAAAATAATGATGAGATAGACATTAGTGTCTTTCTATAACTTCCACTGTAAATTGACATGGTTCCATGTGCAGGTTGAACAAGTGGCCCAACGTAGAGTCAACAAGCCCAGGTGGCTCGGGCCTATTCTGAAAAAAACCTTCTTTGATTCTTGTGCAGCTCATCCTATGTACAAGAATGAACTTAACAAATACTGTATGACCTGCAACAAATCTGCTTGCCAATATTGTGTGTCTTTTGGTATTCATCGATGCCACAAAATGCTTAGCATTTATAAACATGTTTACAAATATGTTGTTGCCATGGCTGCTGTTGAAAAGCATATTGACTGTTCACAGATTCAGGTAATACATCCTACTTGCCTTGAGTATTCTAGCTAAACTTTACAAGTATTGATCCAATTCTTGTGTAGTAGACTTGATTTATCTCAAGTGAGTATTGTTATTTGTCAATAAAAGCTTACTCTTCATGTCATTTGACCTTAGTGTGATGGTGTGAAAGATAGTAGTGAGCAATTAGCATTCACTATGATGGTGGCATGTAAATTTAAAACAAATATAATACGGATCTGATACTTTGCTAATAGTATTACAGAGCTTCAAGTAAATATTCTTTCCTGGCGGTCCTTCCCAGCATTATTTTCTCATCGTGCTGTTCTCTTACAGTCTTACTTTCCATATGAGCGGAAAAACCGGGTCAGTTGGTGACAATTAGTAAAAGAGAATCCCATCAGTCAATACTCTGAACTGCATTATTTTCTGGCAATAAGTACAACCTAGTTTTTAGCTCTTGAGCGGTGTCAGGCATGTATGTCTATACCACACTTGGGACCAGTTTGTTTAAGATTTAAAAAGTGATTTTAGTCAGGCAGAACATGAGAAAATTGTTGTGAGCACGAGGAAGTTGTTGGTAGAACTTAATGTAAACACGAGAGGTGCGTTGGAAAAGGCTTATTTCGATAAGCTATTTAAAATAGCTTATCGAAAAAGGATAAAAATAGATTTTTTTTTTCCCAACAAAATCTTTATGATTAGCTTAATGTTCTTTCTACAACCCAAGTGTTAAGCTTAACTAAATCACCTTTTGTTTTTTTAATTTTGAACAAACTGGCTCTTAATCCCTTGCTTCTTTTGGTTATGTTTCAAAGGCGAATTACTGATTTAAACAGAGAAGTGAGTCTTAACGTGTTCAATTGCTCTGTTTTTAATATTGATACCTTTTCCTGATGGCAGACCTACAAATGCAACAAACGATTGGTTATTGCTCTGAATCCTCTTCCACATGGCGGTTTGGCAACAGATACTGGGCTATTATGTGAGATCTGTGGTAGGAGGGTGACTCACCCTCATCTGTATCGTTACTGCTCCATTTCATGCAAGGTGCGACAAGGCCTTGACAATCACTTGCAAATTTACCCCTTCTCTTCACCCCCTCGGTCATTATTTTGAACTTTATCACTAGCATACTTGTTATTATCTCTTAATCTAAACTTTCAGGTTCAAGCTGTTTTAAGGAAGCCCAATGAATCACTCCCTCCCTTCATTACCATCCAGCGTCCTTCTAAGGGAAAGAAAGAGAAAGCCTCTGAGCCCCAGAAGCCTATAAACAAAAGAAAGGGAACACCCCGTAGGGCTCCCTTCTTCTAAAAGCCTCAACCCTCAAGTTGATGATGATTTATATATATTGTTATATAATGTAGACAGGATTGGAAGTAATTACACCATCAAGTTTATGTCATCAGGACAATTGATCTGTTTAGTCTTGTTTAACTTAATTTGTGTGCTGAGTATGGTGATGATCTCTGCATAGCTGCATAACTAGCTCTGTTTTCTCATGGTGATTAGACGGTTCTTGCAACAAACATTTTGTGAATTGACCATGTGATTGTTTGAGACTGAGATGATCTGAAAGTCTTCGACTTTCAGCAATTGTAGTGGAAAATCTGTCGAGAAGAAATCAACGAATTTAAATTTGTTTTCTATTGCGGTATCCAGAGCGTGTGGTCCGAAGACCTCGCAGGCTTCACAAGATTGTTTGATAATCCCAGATCAAGACACAAGTACAAGATCAGATAAAAGGAGCCTCTATCATGAAAATTTATATAATGCTCGGATATTCTTTATTATTCATCCAGCCGTAGCATTTAACAGGCTAAAATTGACCACTGTACACAAACAGAGGCTGCCTCTACGCGCCTGAAGTCTTAGACCTATTTCTTTCCTTTATCTTTTTTTCTTTTCCCCTCCTTTTTCTATTTTTATGCAAGAATCGAACATATCTCCAAACGTAACTTTGCAAAAGTACATGAATCATCGAATGAAACGTCAATGACAAAAAATGAGTCTCTGCGTTTATTCAGTACCCATACCCAAATTCCAGAAAGCTATTAGGCTCTGTGGAAATCAGAAAATCATCCGCACAGTCCATGCTATTGTTGCTGCTGAAGGCTGAATCAACCCTTGGAGGTACAAGCGAATCACAACACCCAGAGCACACAAACAATGGTGGCACAGTCTCTGAGTCATCTATCCCGCAACACCGTGTGTGCTGCCACACCCCACAAATGTCGCATGCCACCATTCTCTCGCCATCATCATCTTGAGCTCCACATTCACATCTCACCTTCCAGTTGTCTGATCCTCCCTGATACTTCAATGGAGTATTCAAATCTAAACCAATTCCCCTCACACACAGATCCACACCAGACTGCACTACTCCAAAAAGCACTTCCTCATCACTTATTCCCGCCAACTCTGCGATCTCTATCACCATGATTCTCTCTGCAATACAGTAAGTATCCCTCAGAGCAATCTCAGCTGCTTGCTTCAGGTCTCGGACTGTTGCGTGCAGGGGAACCATCACTATCTCACCTGGGGATACTTCCTTGTTCAACTCTCGTTTATCATCGACGAAGTTGGGTATCAAGCGGCATATGAATGTCAAAACTTGCTCTATTTCATCGATCAGTGTCCATTCCTTCACAAAATGCCTACTGTCTAGAATTGTTTGAACCGCCAAGTCCGCTTGTTCTGAATCTGGGTAGCCCAATAGGACATTCTTGTACAGATAAGCTACATCACCGTAAACATCAATTCCTGGCACTGGTTCTGATTCTGCTGGAGGCTCCTTAAAATTAAAAACCTGTAGCCCAGGATGTAGTTGAGGAGATTTAGACCCATTTCCCAGCTCATGAATGTTATACTCTAGGATTCGAGTTGTCGGGTTGACCATTCGCCGGACAACGCAGTTTCCAACAATCATATTATTCAGTGATTTCAGCACATAATCCAGCAAGCCTGTGTCACCAATGTGGAGCCTAGCTGCATCTCTTACATCTTGCCTAGTCATCCCCCCAGAACACGAACTATTTGCTTTGTTTTCCTTCAATGCATCTACTATCACTTGGGCTGCGTATTCTAGTCGCCTGGCAGGCCACCTACTATCCATATTAGCCACTGCTGAACTGAACTTTTTGTACCTCACTGATTTTTCCTTTAACAGGCTTTGTTTGCTTGGCATTGCAAATCTCGTTGAGTTTTTTGGACAGAAGGTTGAAGGAGGAGGAGTAGTGACATTGACTATTAGTCTCTTGGGTGCAGGAGGAGTTCGAGACTTGACGGTAAGCATAAACCTGAGAAGATCCTTGATTGTAATCAACTGGGTTTCACTCATGTCTCTATAGTGGCGAATTATTTGTTTGATTTCTTTATGGCACATTGTATTACCAAAATATTGAACGATCTCATCAAGTTCTAACGAACTTAGAAGTTCGATTGCTGCATTATAATTGTGCTCTGTGACACCGAAGCTTCCACGAGAAAATCTGTAACCCCACCTACCCAACCAAGAATGGCCATAAGCAACTCCATGAAGCAGGCGAAGATCCATTGAACGCTTCTTTGATGTATCTTCAACTGCGATTTTCCTGCCGTTTCAAAGAAACCCCAAAAAGTTTAGACCCTCAAAATGTTTGAGAAATTCATGCAGAATCAAGATAGGTCTAGTGGTCTTTCCAATACCTTGTTCGGAGAATAGTACAGATCCTGTCCCACAGATCCATGATTTCTCTGCCACTGAGAAATTTAGAACCCCCTTCAATGCCATTAACACAGAGCAAATGGCCGTAACCATTGCAATGAATCATTCCATGCAAGAGATGACTCTGGTTATCGAGAGAACCTTCATTCAATGGCTTATTATCGGTGGCGATTATGAAATGGTACCTTCTCTTCGACACAAAATGGCCGCTCCAGCCTGGCCATCATAATCTCAATAATCACCCATATCAGTATCTAAAACAGAGAGAACTAAAGAAACAGAGGAAAGCTAACGAGCAAACCACCAAACCCTCAACGAGTCAAGATTCTTGGCAAATGAAACGGACGCAGATCACGAAACGCAAATTAAACAGACCCAAGCTGGAAAAATTCTAAAAGAATGGATGGTTCAGAGTCAGAGACTAACCCGCACATCTGCAATGGTCGCAGAAAGGGTGCGTAGAGTGGTAGACATCCTCTTCAATAGTGTAAAGAGGAGTCATACTGTTTGATTTCTCGTGAATAAGAAAGGTGGTCCACAGAGGCATGCCCTGGATCTGGAAATCTTCAAGCTCTCCACATTCTTGAAGAAAGAGCCGAATGTTATCTCTAAAAGGTCCGTTAGGACTGATGGGGCAACCAGGGTCGGCGAAAGAGTGAAACCTGAAAACCTTGGGCCATCTCTTTCTCTTCCTACACGCTTCAAAGAGAGAGAAAGACATGGTTAAAGCTTCGCTTTGAGCTTGAGGATACCCCAAGACTTCGCTTCTTTGATTCTTTTCTGAAAATTTTTCATGCAGAAATCTCGTAGACGTGTATACACAGAGAGAGAGAGGGAGGGGGAGAGAAAGAAAGGGAGGGAGAGAAAAAGCTCAGTAGTCACAACTGATTCAGTTAAAACGACCAGGGACCAGTCGTTCAGACTTGGCGCGCTCGAAGGGAGATTCAAAACAAGAGGCAATGCTGGGGGCATAATCGTCCTTTCAAGGGTAAGAAATATGCCCGCCGTTCGCCACTCGTGACCGTGAAGCGGCAGCTTGTTTGATGGGTGACAGGTGGATATGTTAAATGGGGGCCACGTGTACTAACTACTAACTACTAACTACCAGCCGTATTTGATCACGTTCCTTTTTTGATACGAAGAGGACAATTTGATCACGCTTCTATATCGCTATCGCGGTCTCCCCACTTTCTCCTCATGGCAATAATGACCTGAGACGGTGAAGAGTTTTCTCACCATCTTCCCTTGAACTGAAATAAGAGCACGTTCTTTTTTTTTTAAAAAAATTATTTTATGTTATTCGGCTGCTATAATTCATTTTCTCCGAGTCATTAAAATAGACTCGGCCGATATCTTTCCATTAATTAAATAGGAGGTCCGTTAATTTTTCTTCTCTTTTGTTAAATGAAATAATCCAGGTTTCCCATTCTTTTGCACGATCAAGAGATAGATTGTTTAGAGTGCAAATAATTAAGACTTTTTTTGGCTTCAAAATAATTAAGAATTTAAATTTATAAAGGTTAATATAATTTTTAGTCCTTTAAATTTATCTTCATTTTGATTTTAATCTTTTAAGTTTCAAATTATAAGTTTTGGTCCCTCAAGAAGCAAAATAGTCTGAGTTTTTATTAGATTATAGAGACTAATATTTTAAATAAAAAAAACTTGAGGGACCAAAACCAAAACGAAAATAAACTTTGAAAGATCAACATTTGTATTAACCCAATTGATAATTAGTACTTGAGGTTATACAAAATCAGAGTTAAAAAACCATGAACTTTGAATTCCAAAGTGTTCAGGTAATTGGAAGTGCTGCAATGATTTCTAATTTTTCTGAAAATTGCGGGATATCTTTTAGCTTAGCCCTATAATTTGAGAATTATTATGCGGCTGATTCTAGCTTAGCCCGGTAATTTAAGAACTATTATGCGGCTGATTCATCTGTAAATAAGATTAATATCTTGGATTTAATAAATAAAAAATAATCATAAAATCACAACTAAGCCTCCTAAATTAAAAAGATATTCGAATTCTTGTTTTGTTCATTGAGGATTGACCTATGAATATCTCCAACACAAATTTGACACATAATCGAAGTAGGGAATTTCTTGCCGCATAAGATTGATTCATTTTATAGCTTATATTATTACTTCCACCATTGGAACTATCCTTCAACTGTAAGCACGAGGAATCTCTGGTTCTGGCTTCTTGGCCACGCTAAGAGACTTGGCGATAAAATGTCCTTCCACTACAAAGTTCAGCACTCTCCATGGTGGAATGAACAAAAAAACTTTTGTTCTTGAACTAAAGCTTCAAATAGCTATTATCGATGAATTTCATACTTGTGTGCTTAACTTGCCCCATTTTGAGTTTCTTGATGGAGTCAACTGCTCAACTTTTTGCTGCTGCATCTCAATCACTCTTTAGTGCAGTTTCCAGGGAGAACTTACTCAACAATGAGGAATATGACCAACCAACTGCTGCTAATCTTGCAGCTCAGAAGCACTTCAGACAAATTCAACACATATATTAGGTATGCTCCCTTTTCATATGCAAGAGGTTTTCCCGCATGCGGTCTGTGTGTTTTGAATAGCTTAAATCTTCATAAACTTTCAATAGATATGTATACTTAAATCTAAAAATAAATTGACCTTTTTTGTGATATCCAGTTTTTACTTAAGCTGCAATCCATCATGAATGATAACCTGTTTACGGAACAAAAAAAACTCTAAGCTCGAACTTCCAGTCTGTTCCGAGCTCATGATATTGGTTCCCAATAGAGTGGACAACAAGCTCAGCGTTAAACGCTCGAGATTCATGTCATGCAAAAAGCAGGCACAGAACTTGAATCTAAAGTAGAACCTAGCCAATTGATTAACCTCTTAGAGTGATAATGAACTGGGGAGTGTAATTCAAAGAATGTAGAATAGTTATTGCCAAGTCATAGAAAAAAGTGGGATTTTGAAAATCACATTGAATGAATCATGATGACTATTTATTTGTTGCATTAACACCTGAAGGATAGCATCATGTAATTTCAGCTTCACAACAGGTTCCATGCAGATACAGGTACATTGCCCTATGAAAACAAGCTATGATTGCTTAATATACATCTTTAATGTGTTTCATGGACTAGGTGCAGCTTTTGACCATCCATAATGAGGTTCGCATCAGTAATTTTACCGGCATCCTCTGATAGAATAGAACAATCACTAGAAACATTAAGCTGCTCCGCTGCTGTTTCGATAAGCTCTTCAATGGTGTGTGGAACCCATAGCACAATCCCATGTCTTCTATGTTCTTTTGGACCCCATGGGTGAAAAGGAAAAACTGTACATTTCTTGGGATGAAGTTTCACTGCAAACAGATAAAAAGTAACATCAGCTTTGAAATTACCGCATTAGTTGGTCTAGATAAAGCAAGGATGAGCAGAATTATTACTTTCATTTGTTAGTTCTACATATTTGAAAACAGAAATAGCTGCTAAATCCTATATCTAACACAAGCTGGCCATGAGAACATCGTTTGAATTTTTTTATTTAAATTAGCAAAGCAGCTGCTTGTCATGATGAAATATATTCCTCTGGTGGGCGAAATTTTAAAGAACTCCAAAATTTAGTGATCATGAGGAAGTTCTGTAGTCACCCCTGGTAGCATCAGGTGTGACTAGATGCAAAACTTAGATATAGTTTCTTAAATATAATAGGGAAACAAATTAAAGTTGATTCAAAATACAATTTAATATGACAACAAAGTCGAGGAGAACTATGAACAGGAAGAAGGTAACTTTAGGGTTAAGGCTAGCCAGAAGACAGCAGTTTTTCCCCCTTTGGGAACCTCAGGATTTTCGCTTTTCCTTTAAATTACAGTAACAGAGTATTTGTCAAAACCTGTAAGTTCTGAGGAAAGATGAGGGAATCTTGACAACTGAGCAGATCTCGCATCTTCCAATAGCTCGATCAGATTCTTATTTCCACACATCCTAGCTTCATCAAGAGGGGTATTTCCCCATCTGCGAGGCAGAGAGAGGTGTCAGAGGAGTTTAATCCCGAGATTGAAGGTGCGAACCGCGCCCTTCATTACTTGAAGCAAAGTAATGAACACGTTCGCATTTACAACAAAAAGAGGGAAACTTGAAGTTGAAAAAGCAGGTGAATTTATTGATGTTAAAATTACGGAGAGGAGTGGATATGTTTAAACAATAAAATATTTAGTTTTCAGAAAGTTGTTTCCAAACAACGTATAGAAAAGGGGGGGAAAATATATCAAGGCATATTCATATACGCACAAAAAATCCAAATATCATTTGCAATTAGAAGGGTTTTAATTTTGTTGGTCAGCCAAATGAATTTTAGTACTCGAGGGTGTAAAACATAAAGCATTTAAAGACATAGATGGGCACAAGATACTGCAATCACCGTGATGCCAAAAAACTTTAAAATGGCAATATAAAGCATGCACATGCCTATCTCTCCTACTTCCGAGTGACAAATACAACGGCCAGGTTCTCTTTGCGTTAACACGGCTCAATGTTCATTTCAGCATGAACACGCAAAATGAGTAATTTAACTTACCTGTCTTGGATAAAAACGCTGGCTCCAGCCTCTATCAGCAACTTTGCCATTAAGAATAAACCCTCAGCTGCAGCAACATGAAGAGGGCTTCGGTAATCGTAATCTTTCGTGTTAGGATCCATACCATAAGATAATAGCCTTTTAAGGTAATCTGAATCTCCCCTTGCAACAGCATTACATAGAACACTACCAGCATCCTCTATTTTCATAGAAGCACCTTTTCCAACAAGTAAAGAAGCAACTCGATCATGTCCATTCTTTACAGCTTCAAGTAAGGGTGTGTTCCCAAAGTTATCTACGCAAATCACCGAATTAATTATTTGCACAAGGTCAGAAACAAATTTCAATGAGCACAGACACAAGTATATTTTTCGATATAGAAGACTTACCTCTCAGATCGATTTCTACACCTTCCTGAATAAGGAAAATGGTGATGTCTTCAAATCCTCTAGATGCTGCAAGATGCTATGGGAAGAGGAGATACGTGTCAGATAAGCATTTTCATATCAATATAGTTCTATTTCAAGTGACACAGTGTGCTAGTTATCAAAGATCACTTGTTGTGGCCGTGCCTCAATATTTAACAAATGAACACAACAAATATTCCGATCCAAAGTTCTGATTCAAATGAATAACAACATGGAATGTTACATAAATAGGACGGCCATAACGAATTTTACGGGGATGCCAGCATACGATATAAAATCAGAGCAAAAGAACATAAATCTTCCGTGCAATGAATTAGCTTTGCTTGTTCAAAAATGAAAATCAAGAAGCTGAAAAGTAAGACCCACTTATGCAGCACTGGCAAAACAGACGCTCATGATCGGCCGAAGTCACGAATCCCACTATTATACAACACAATGAGCAAGTCCATAATGTAGAGCTCAGAAAACATGAAATTTTTCTAAGTAAAGGAAACATGCAAAATACAACTTCAATCTGTTTGCGTAAAAACCAAAAATAAAATGCATTAAAACTTGAAACTTGACCACTCCATATCTATCCTTTAAAAACTGTCAAAACAGGTTCAAATGTGTTTGTGTGTGGGTTTGTGTGTTTCATTTGATCCCTATAAGAAAAAAGTAGTGTTAAAGCTACTCACCAAAGCTGACCGTCCATCATAATCTGCCTTGTTTGGATCAGCTCCAGCTCGAATTAATCCTTTAATGTGATTCAGATCCCCGTTAAAAGCCGCATTATTGACCTTCAAAGCAAGTTCAGCTTCTTGCTTTCCAATATGGAATGTGATATCTGACTCCAATTGCTTACCTCGACTAGAGTCTTTTCCCTAAAAATCATGTAATATTTAGCCGTCTATTATGATGATCAGCAATAGTCTATTGTGTACGTGTAAATCAATACTTCCATGCGAAAGTTAACTAGAGCACAATGCATTTACAAATTATTTCAGAACTATTCTACAGGCCAATTTCGGTCGAGGGGGGTGGGGGGGACTATCAAGTGTTTAGCTGTTTATTTACCTCCAGAAGATTGTTTAATACTTTCCTCCCATCATAGAAGTATATATCAAGGATATCCGTAAATGATTGTTTATCAAGCCGCAGAAGCCTACAAAGTTCACAAACCCGAACAGTATATGGTTGAGGAATGTTACATAGAATAGATATTTGCCCAAATGAACTGTTAGGCTCTAAAAGTGAAACAGTCTCTTCAGATCCATTTTCACCGGGGCCTACTTCCTCCTGCATCCAAGAAAAGGATTTGGGTATTCAGCACGAACATATGCATCTTTTATAGTCATCACGCACAAATATATATGTTATGAACATCTTCTGAAGAAGGAATTCACCCAATGACCAACTGAAGATATAAAAACGTACATTCAAAACTCAAAAGATTCTCGGTCTCGGTGTTCAGAAAATGCTTAATTGCTTTCTACAAAAGAAGATGACACATAGACAAGTGCAAAAAAAGACAAAAGGTCCAGCGCAGACCAGCGTGTCGCATACCAATTCAGGTCCCGACCAGCGTTACCAATAATAAATAACTTAGAACCTCTAATTAAAACTACTAGAAATGAGGGAAAAGTACTGGGAAAAAAAGAAGATATCCACAATACAAATTTACATTATTGGCTCTGGAAATATAAATTATACCAGCACACCATGACAGACAAAGTATAGTTGATCTACAACATTTCCTTGTTCCAATATCACTTCTCCTGGGAGAAAGAATTCCTCATGGAGCCTTGTGACCTGAAAGATTAAAGGCACAAAACTTCTTAACCTCCAACATTCAATATAAAGATAAAGAAACAAGACATCGACCAGAGCTTTCATCTTATCACTAAAAAAACAATTCATTTTGAGTGATGGTATGCAATTCATTTAAGACAGATATCAGTGTCTTTCGCTAAAAACAGAGACTAATCTACCTCGGGGTTCAGAGGGCAAAAGATAAAGACACCTCCAAACTAGGTTTTGTTCCATACTCAAGAGGTGGGAATCAAAGCCTAACCACTTGCTTAAGAGACAAGAGCCCTCACCACTCATGCCAACTTGAATTGATTGAAAAGAGTTGCACACAAAAGCTCAACCGTGCAAATAAAATTAGTAATTTTAATAAACAGGCGGACAAATGTTCAAGGAGAACCTTTGGTCCATTATTACATCTTGCCCATTGAAGTTTCGAAGGCTAGAGTTGATAATTAGTAGCCACGTTGCTGACCAAAATGTGAAGTCCAAAGACACAAACCCAAAACGCTGAGAACATGTCCTATTTATCAGGAAGGAGACTTGACATGAAAATTTACAAGTTTCCTTGTTCATTGATATACAACATGTAATAACTGGTCAGAAAGAGCTAAAAAATTTCTCACGTAATTTTATTCGTAATTTGCAAATTACATATGAGAAGCAAATCCCAATTTGCTGTTTGCGGCAGATCAAGTCCAGAAAGGAAAAGACAGGCGGACAGCTTTGCACACCGATAACATAGAATATATTATGTCCATTTTGTACCAACATATATGGAAAGTTTCTGTGCAATAGGGGATAAATACTCACGATCTGATTAATAAATTCTGAAGAGCAAGTCTTAAAGAGAGGGACCTTCTCGATGTACGGCAAATATAAGTCTTGGGATATCTGCAAAATAGAACAGACCAATATGTTCAAATGTTGAGACCAAAGCTAGTACTCTGACACTTTAAATATAAATACCAAGCGCATGGATTGTGTAATCAAACTTGTTTCATAAAATTAGCAGAAGTGTAAATGCGAAAGTTTCAAGTTCATATTCCATGTATTCCAACAAGGCACAAAGGGTACCGGAAGCACTAAAATTAAAATCCAAAAATCTGCACGGAGGATATAAACACATGAAGTCTGACAAACTATAGCAGAAAAAGGGGAAGCGGAAAATTATGTATAAATTATACATAAAACCAAAAGGCGTGGATTGACATAAATTTGTCATCAACTAAATGTTTGATATCTACAGTAACCGAGAATAATTCACTTTATGATCACAATCAACCTCTACCATGAGTGACTAGCATACTGAATCACATATAGACTCGTAATCCCTCAAAGAGCTTGAAATTCCCACCCATGTTGACAAATGCTTGATTGGAGATGTGTCTAATATGCGTCAATGACAACTATATACAAAGAATTATCAAATCATTTCAATAACTACAACGATATATACTTTTATCTTATCTAATCAGATTTAGTCGCAAGCTTAGCAAGATTAGTATAACTGTTGTGCTTAATAAAGATTCATTACATTTGCAAAATCACTATGCTTTAAGTTTATGCAGCTATCGTCCACAGCAACAAGATAACCAGATAAAAATATAAGGAAACAGCATAAGCAGGACCAAACATAAATAAATAAAAACTGAACTGTTGGGAAAAAAACCGTCAAAAAGCATACTAGAGGAATAAGATATCTATTGTTAGTAAATGAAACAGCTAGGAAAATTTAAGTGATTTTAGTAAGACCATAATCGTTCTCTTAGTACCTTGGAGCGAATTGAAATGGGGAGGTCCTGAATGGCTGCTGGCTCAGTGTAGCTACTTTCATACTGTAAGCGCATATGGCCTTTTATTTGTTCACGAATGTCCCTTCCAAGTTTATTTCTATTCATGTATTTCAAAAGATCTGCCATTCTGTCCCTAAACTTTTCCGTTTTTGATCCTTTGACTATTAAAGCCGTCATGTTACCAATTAAATAAGCACCAAGAACCATATCAAACGAAACATATATCATTATGAATATCATCTCCCTCATATTTACTGCATGTATGTCTCCGTAGCCTGTGCAGGGAAAAATATATCACAAACATAAATACATAACTAATTAGGAAACTTTCAAGAGAAATATGACTGCACACGATTTGATAAAGTCTAAAAGAGATTTATGCATTGAAGCGCATAGCCAATTGTTAGCAACCTACCGACAGTGGCCATTGTAACAATGGCGAAATACAAAGATGTTGTGTAGCGCTTCCAGAGATCAATTTCCCTGAAATTCATGTAACTGTAACCGCCAAGCTGTAAGCTTCCTATCCATGTGTACCCCTCTTGGGATGGAGGTAGTGTGGTGGCCAAGTAGTAGAAGATGCAGGCAGCACTATGGGTGCAGTAGAGTTCAACAACTATAAGTTTCACAATCCTAGTAAACATGTAATTGATACGTATATCCTTCTCGAGTCTCTGGAAAAATTCAGTAACTTTCCGCACCCGATATAATCTTATCCACAGAAGATACCTTACTCCTTCTCTTCTTCCACTAGCCTGGATGCACAAAAATGATCAGCTATCCCAGTATTAGAGAAAGAACCATGACTAGAAAGAAAATTCGACAAAGTCACATGTTACGAAGAAAGCTACGAAGTTTTGTTAATTTAACTTGATCATGTCTCAAATCCTCAGTCAATAGGACGTACTATTATTAATCTCTAAATAGCTGGAGAAATGCACCGTATGTATGCTCCACAAAAAATTCTGAGATTTAATAATATGCATTACTTGCTCTCTTGCTATGCAACAGGGTGCATTTGACATAACAGCTTAATTGCCAACCAACAAAAAGTTTGTGCCACATGCACAGAGGATCCTAAAGATAATTCTTGCCTAGGCCATGATAGATGTCCACAATAATCATCATGACCATATAAAGGTGTAAAACATAGCGAGAGAGAAAAATAATGTTTCTTACCCAGCCATCATAGCCATGACAAATGCCCACAAACATCACCATGACAATATAAAGCTGTAGAACTTTGTTTTTTTTGGCCCTGGTTTCACTCTAGCTGAAAAGTCTATCGGTAAAATTTTATTACCTTTTCTTTACAGATACTAAAATTTTTTGGGTGAAGCCCAGAATGTGAATAGCACCCTAAGCTAGGACTCGTAAATAATCAAGGGAAAAACAAGTGACTGGAGCTTCAGGTATTTGTAATGTAATCTCACTGTAAGTATCCTTCTAACAGTTGTCCTTTTAATAAAAATCCAAAATATGCAGTAATTATTGATAACAACAACAAATTCACAAGCAACGTCTTTTTCTATGTGCTACCAGAAGACAGCCATCGGATTCTCATATGAACAGCATCACATATTCTACGGAGCAAGTATTTAGTTTTGACCAGTCACCAGTACCACAACATGCAGGTGATTGAAACAAACTGGCGGTGAAAAACGAAAGTACTCAAGAAATTTTGTCCATGAATTAGGACCTTATAGATGATGTCCCAAGGCATACATCCAAGAAGATCAAAGATAAAGCTAGACTTTAGATACCTGCAAGAACAGAGCAAGTAACCCGTAAATAAAACGAAAAAAGAATTCACACCCAACAGACAAGCCAGCACATGGACTTAACAATGGGCATTTCCACAGTAACTAAGGAAGAACTGCATAATAATTAGCACTGAAATTAATAAGCACTCACCGCAGAGCTATAGGGGCTCGCTTGTAGATCATACGATAGGTCTGACTGTCTCTATAAGCAAGGAAGAACTGCACAATAATGTCTACAAGAAATGCAACTTGACCAATTATGTCCAGTATGAAGAGATCCTCATCTAGGCCACGAAAAAATCCAAACTCCATGGGGGTGAAGAAGGATGAGTATATTGCCCACAGCAATATGAATTTTGTCCATGCCCGATACCACCTGCAGTGCCAACCAATATCAGTCTATAACCATCTAACTTTTCATTTGTTTGAAACCCTGCAACCATAATCCGAACTTTGAAAGCATTGATAATTGTCTGGAGTGGGAAGAAATAAGCCCGCCCCCCTCAAACTGGCCGGTGCAATGGGGAGCAAGTCATGCAATTTTTTATTTCTCAGATTCTGCGACTTATTGCATTAATCCCCAACCATGGCATTTCATAGCCCCCAGCTGCAAAGATTGCTGTAGGAATGATTCCTTAAATTCAAATAACATTATTAAGAGTAACCAAGTCATCCCCCCGGGGGGGGGGGAACTCTCGACGAAGAAATGCAGATGTCATTTCAGTTCCATCTAGTGTGTGTTTTTTGTCTTTTAGTATTTTGGGTGTTTATATACCCTGCAGTTTTTAGTTGACGAAGAAATGAAAATTTGACCATCTACTGAAATATGTTTGGCGGGGAAGCACACGTTTCTTTCGCAGAAGAGATGGATCACTGCCATAAATAACACAGTCGACTTTTGTTAGGACTAGAGTCTAGAAGGCTACTGAGCTTCTCCGTTGTTGTTTGTCCTCATAGTTTGCAACATAGCAACATCTATACTCTAAAATGAACTATTACGGATTTACGGCTTGTTATCATCTTCCTGCATTCACTGTCCATACGTCGAACTCCTTGGACTTTAATTACAGCCAAGGGTCCCGCCGTACAGAGCGAAACACGACTTTGATTCCAGGATCTCGTGACTCCCACGTAGATAACAGAACAGCCATGTGCTAGAAGGATCATTTTCCCTACTAAAATTCTTAATCAATCCATCCATCCCAATCAATCAAGAACCAATAATAAAAAGATAACACAGGCCAGGGCCTCCCATCCCTGCACCAGCCCGGTCCAACTCCTTGTGGTATTGATTCTATTATTTTTGCTTTAATAATAAAATGAAAACGAAAATATCATTAAATTTTTATTTTTGTCCGGGCTAATATTTACCTTCTGTTTAATTAATTTTTATTTCTGTATTTTTCACCCTTTTTGTCATTTGAAATCTACTGTAAACATCTGGTATTGTATTTTCACAGTAACGTTAATGTGCAATGCTTGCTCACCCATTTATTCCCCCGTTTCATTCCGTCGTCACATCGTAAATGACGAATGTTCTGTAACTTAACCGGTTAATCCTCCTTGCGCAATATCAAATCCTATGATTAGGATTACCCACAATAAACTTGTTTTCAATGTCACGATACTTTTTGACGAAATTTTCATTTTTAAAAGAAAAAAGAAAATGATAATGTCAGTATTTTCAACCATTACGCAACACTGACCTTTTTTGTTTTTGGCCTGAAATTCACGCAACATTGACCTGACAGACATACGATCTCAGAGGGGTGGAGATGTGTAAACATAAATTGATTACTTCTTATCATCAACCTTAAATGTCTCAGCCGGGGGGAAAAATAGTAAAAAATTCAACATGATGCTTCGTGGGGCCAAACGTCCCCACAAAATGGGCACGTGGAAGGAAATGGATGCAGTGACGTGGAAGTGCAACTCCCTCCGTTTGAAAGTTGCCGCTCTTTCCACCCAAGACGACGCACAACGAAGCAGATCACAAACCCAGTCCGGCACCCCCGAGTCCGGAAATTGGAGACTTTTTTTCTAAAATAAATAAATAAAAATAGAGAAATAACGCCGGTAAAAAAAAATTTTAAAAAAAACCAAGCGTAGTTTTAATTTTTGCCGTTCGAACTTAGTAGAAAATTAGAAGAAAATATATATATATATATATATATATATATATGTGCATATAGATTATAAGCTAGATAAGGGAAATGGAGAGAGCCGGAGGGAAACCTGTTCTCTGGATGAATAATGAAATCTTTGGATAAGCCTCGAATGCCATCAATGACGTGGCGACTGAATTTCTTCTGGTTGAGCTCCTTCAACTCATTCTCAATCAATTGGAATCGGCTTCCTCGCGACGATTTCAACCTGTCTCTCAGGTCCTCAAGTTCATACTCTCTGTCATCCGAAGACGACGACGACGACGACGAAGACGATCTCGAAGTCGACAACATCTGCTTCCTTTTCTCCTCTCTTTCCTCCGTCACCGCCTCCTCTGTCAATCTATTACCAGGCATTTCCAAAGTCTACGTTACTGGATTAACCTGTCAGCTTCTATATAAACCTGCTCGAAACTCGATCGATTGGTCGATATCGATCTTCACGTGAATGCGATCAAGACGCTCTGCGGAAGGAATACGAGATCAAAAGGTGGATGCAAATTGTACAGCGCCTGTTGATAGTAACTGGAAACTTTGGAATAAAAGATTGAATGAAACAGAAAGAAAGAGAAGCTCTGCGAATACCTTTGCAGGGTCACGAGCATTTGGGTGAAAAAGTGGTGTGTGTAGATCTCGATCACGAGAAAACCAGGCGACGTCCTGTTCAGCAAATTGAGGTTGTAATTGCATCAGAAGTGAGGGAGAGAGCTTTTACGAAAGGATTATATATTGATTGGACTGTTTATTGACTGAGAGATTTGAATTTTGGCGTCTTCACTGGACAAAGTTGGCAATAGGAGCTCCCTTTTATACTAACGACCCGTCTGTAATCGGACCCATTTCTTATCACCTCCTCCCTTCCGCACCTTCTCAAGGCTACACAACAGAGGATATGTAATTCGCAAAGCAAAACGAACAAGTTACGCACGCCTTATTCCGAGTCTTATAAATTTCTATGGCTGATAAAAAAAAAATCAATAAATTTATTGCTCATTAATAAATTCAAAAAAAATTAATAATAATTGTCTTTGAAATTACATAAAAATTTTAATTTGAAATAGAAAAAGATAGTTTTTTTTTTTTTGCCAAAAGAAAGAGATAGCTTATGTTGTATGATATTACGTCCGTACACATGGACATTTATACTCTGTCTTCTCCAAATATTTATAAAAAATAGTACTACGTTTTTAATATAAGATTCTGTTTGATTTTTATTTTGATTCTAAATATAAGACTCCAACCCCTAAAAAATAGTACTATGGTTTTCATTTTACACAATCAGCACATAAAATTTTAAGTATTATCCACTTCTCATTAACGAAGCGTTTAAATTTTTAGAGCTGGTTTCATTCACTTACAAATTTAAAATGAAAAATTTTTCTCAAATATATTGCCCATAAATTTAAAATCTATTTGTACAAAGTCATAAACTGATACTAGCAAATCAAACATCTCAAACGATAATAATTAAAATAATTTAAATCTCGTAATAATTTGTGTTTAGCCTAGTAAATTAATAAACAATAAGCACACTATATATCCACACATACATGTAAATTTAGGGTGACAGAATAATATCCTAATCCTATCTAAAACCCTTAAAATATCCGTAACAATTTGATTATAGCGTGCACTTAAATTAAATAGAATTAATGATTGTGGTTTTCTCACAGCACTACAATGGTCTTTTAATCAAGTTATGGCATAATTAATATTTGTAGGTTTATTTGTATACATAAATGATGATGATGGAGATAAATCCATGTGTAGCTAATTAACAGAACATCTGAAAATCATTTAAGGCTCACGGCACAATCACACGGCAGATTACCAAACATACCTAAATCTAAGGTTGGACATATCTGCCTAAGAATAACTTAACTTATCAACACCATCATTTTTTAACGTCAAGAAGATTTGAACCTGTACGTAATCTGAATAATTTTTGGGATTTAAATTTTTAAATATCATTACGCATAATCCTTTTATTTTTCTTTTTCTTAGACATTTCAGAACCAATTCTGATCGTTGATAAATGAAGGGGCCAAACAGAATGAGTTATGCGCTTATCTGCTGTCTCAATCATTAAACTCTGATAAATTTTCCACCATACTTTTCCCATACTATTTATAAGTGATTTTTAATATGTTTTATTATTATTAAAAAATTTGAATTACATTAATTTTCTTAAAATTGTATAACTTTATAACTTTGTTTTTGAATAATAACTTTCTTACTTTATTCCTATTCAATATATATTATATATTCTGAACATAAAGTTTAACAATAATAAGTGAACAGTAAATTTATATATTTATATATAAAAATTTGATGGAACTTATAAATTGAAAAAAAATCTTTATTTATCTTAAAAATAGAAGAAGAGGAGTATAATAGTTGCATTTGGTAATTATAAGAGTGACTGAATTGTTATGAGAGAGAGAGAGAGAGAGAGAGAGAGTTATTTAACTAATGCCTTAAAATTGAAGATGACGAGCCGTGAAAGATAGCAAACAGCACATAAAACGTGTCCGTGAGGCCGACGAGGTTGGATTAGGACGTCAAATATATTTAATGAATTATTATATATTCCCCCATTTTTTAAAATTACAAAAAAAATTGGGTATTTGACTTGTAATAGTTAATAGTTGTAGTATTACCTCCGATCCTAATTATAAAAGCTAGTTAACTAATTTGAGGAGATTAAAAAAATAAGCTAAATTAGTTATTTGTAATAAATAGGTGTTATCTTTCTTAAAATATTCTTACTAATCAAATGTATTGTCTAAAACTATTATTATTAGAAGGACTACCTTGGAAAAAAATGTATAAATATGATAGGCAAAGTGAATTAGGATCTTATATTTAGGATCAAAATAAAAATTAAACGAGATCTTATATTAAGAACCGGAAGTAGTATATATTATGCATTAAGGAAATTTGAACTCCTTGCCTTTGCTTCCGCCCAAAACCCTGTTTTTACGATATGGGTTAGCGTTAAATAACACGCTGCTTAATAATTTTTTAATCAAATTAGAGAAAAAATATTTTTAAAATAAAACAGAACGAACTATTAATAACAGTTAGTCACAGGACAAAACAAGAATAACATATGCACACACTGTCTAGTTTGATTGGAGAACAATGTTCTCAACATGCGAAAAATGGCAATTAAGTTCTAAAAGTTTAATTTATTAACTACCATGTCCAAAGATAAATTGCTAAAAACTCAGTTTCCTATAAAAATTAAACACCCGATTTACATCTGAAATTTTCTTATTTAGAACTATTTGAATTATTAACAGCTGTAATTCATATCCTTCAGCAAAAAGTTTTTAGGACATAATTAATATTGAACTCATTTTTAATTTTGGGACCTAAATACCATTTGTCCTTAAATCTATAAGTTTTTAGAAGCCTAAGTTTTTTATTTTAAATAAACATCATTTTAAAGTTTTAATCTTGATTCAAAATATATGCAATTTAAAACTTCAATAAATCACTAAATAGTTTCCTTGATACGTGTATATACTATATAACAAAGAGCGACAACTAGCATTATGAAGTTGAAAAATATGGCAGTATTTTTTTTTAAATAATGATAGTTGTCATTGGACACTTGTTTTGCTCTCCATTGTTGACTTTTTCGCGGCTCACAAAATACACATCGTAATGACAACTAATGTTCCTTGAGATGGTCTTTTGACGCTTAACTAGTAAAATAAATTTATTTAGTTAAATGATAAGTCCATTAAATTTATTTAATTAAATGATAAGTCGACCATCACCGTCGGACGATGAATCACGCAAATAAACAAAGGAACAAAAAATGTGAGCATGGAAGGTGGAGGCTCTTGGCCTGACCGGTACAAAGTTTATTCCCACTGAACCTATAGGATCGGCTTATTATAAAATTCAATTTTTTATATTAGTTTGTCTTTTTTATGAGATTTTTTTAGTTTTTTAAAATAATAAATACATTTTACTTACTTTATTTTTAATTAATATACTACTACCTCCCGTCTTAATTATAAAACCTCGTTTACAATCTATAAATGAGATCTTATAATTAGGATTAGAGATAGTATTTCTTACTATCTTTTTTTTCCCCTGTCACACCTCCCCATTTATAAATAAGTGCATATTTAAAAATAAAATACATTTCCTATCTATTTATTGTTTTAACTAATTTTAATAATTTTTTTAAGTCATACAGTTATTTGGATATTATAATAAGAGACTGATGTAATATAAAACTATGAATATTATCTAAATTAAGTAATGCCGTTTATTCCATTCAATTGTAAAAGTACTGAGTTAAATTACCTCCCATAGACTTTTGAAATGGTCATGAACCCATAACTTACCAAATAGTTATGCCAATACAAGACTAAATGAGAGTCCAGAAGCATCTAATGCAAACTTAAAAAAAAAAAAAAACACATATATATTAACCCATAAATTGTAAAGTCTTGAGCGCGATACATTAAATCCAAGTGTTAATGGCAACTTTGGACTATGCTGATTACTTGACCTAATAAATGAGTGGGAAATTAAAAAATAAACCTCCATATTTAATTATACTTGGCTTAAAGTTATTTTCCTTTTTGAAAAGTTCCCTTTTATTGGATATATTTTAATTAGATTCATTTTTTTAAATTCATTCTAGAAAGTAAAGCACCCTACTCCCTGATTGAATTAGTCGAGTTAAAGTATTAAATACTGCTCTCATCCTTAATGTAAGATGTCATTAGAGAGTTAGTGTTGGTCTTATATGTAAGACTTATTTCACATATTTATTAATTGTTTAAATGAACTTTATAAATATTTTTCTAACAATAATCAAGTAGAAGATAGAGAGAGAAAATTATAAAAAATGCTTAGTATGTTTAAAAAAAACATATTATATTAATTAATTTAACTAACATATTTAATTTACTCTAATTAATTAATCAGGTCTTATATTAAGGATAAGATGAGTAATTTGTAGGCTCTTCCACTGATAAATTGTGTACACCTGCATTAACCACGGATGTAATTTTAATTTCCTTGTTTTATATATGGCTTTCAAATTTGAATTACACATAATTTTTTTAAACAATAAAAAAGAGCGAGCGAGAGTAATTATCATTCAAAAGCCACAGGATATATAATTATATACTGTTTGATTAGTCAATTTCAACGATCTATTCATGGAAACAGCTTGAATTAAATTCAAGGGAGCAAAATGCAAAAGGAAATGAAACGGGCAGGAATAATGAAATCAACAAATTGGTGACAAAATTGAATAGAGGAACCCCAAATGGGAAGTATTGGGAACGTCACAGTGGAGAAAAATAATGAATAGTAATAATAGAAGCGCCCAGAAACGGAATGAACGGAGAGCCACGCAAACGATAATACAAGGGCCGACAATTGACCGTTGAGGACCGCAACATTTATTAATGAAAGTTATGTGGAAACTTAGGCACACATCACTGGCAACTAGGGACATATTATGAGTTCATTTGTAAAACACTACAAAATGCTTTTCTGATTTTATTTATAAAACAGATATAAAAATATTTTTTGGTTCTATTTATAAAGTACTGAGAAAATTTTTTATATAAATATATAATTTTACCTTTTTATTTATTATTATGTTGATTTCATTTGCATGTTATATATTGTATATTAAATAGGCATAAAGTCAAAAAGTTATTGAATTTTAAACGAGGATTAATAAAGTTTGAGATTTTCTTTAATCTATGTGAAACATATTAGAAGTAACTTATAAATAGGACCAGATAAGTACTATTATCACTTTGTTTCTAT